ATTTAAATACAACTCTAAAATAAGAGTCATTTCCAGACATGCTCATAAATAGCATTCAAACCTTATTCTAAACAAGTTTGTTAGTATACAAAGAAGGTTCTAAATTTCATTTGATTGATCACAAGAAAACAGAAGCACAGAACAGAAATTTTGTATTGTGTCCTGTCTGGATATATTTCTTCCTTTTTTCCCCTCTCTCTTCAGGAACTGAGCCTCCTTTCCCCAGGGGGCTGCCTCCTTAAGAGCATCATGACCACAATATAAACAGCCGACTTTGTTTCACCTCTTAGCCCTCATCATTGCTATCACTATATCTCCCTTGAGTTTATCATAACCCTGTCCTCAAAGTCTGCTTGTCAACAGTTGCTCCACAGAGTCTGAATTCAGGCTGTTATCACAGGCCCACTGCACTAGCCACCTAAATGATGCCTTATCCCACAGAGTCTTCAACAAAAGCCAAAACCAAAGACCTTTTCAACGCCTCTCTGATCTGACACTGATCCCAAACCATGGGCAATTCCTTTTTTCTGAAAAACTCAAGTTTCAGACATTGTATATTAAAACCAGGGAAAAAAATCTAGGGAAATTTCAGGAGTCACTTTGTTGATCCAAATACACTTTGTTAGTGTGATATTTTCAAAATCAAGAATTGGGGTTTGAGTTTTAAAAGTCTTAACACATGTTATTTTGCAGCAGATACAATTGAAGTCCTACAACTACACATTGTTTTTATTTTCTTCCTTGGAAGTTTCTAATTCCTCAGTTGTTCCTTTCAATTTGGTTAATTGAATGATGCCATTAGGTGACATCCTTAAAATTGACCTAATATCTTTTATTGGGCTCATATTTATTGTACCGTTATTGCTTAATGCCACTTTAATCTGATTTAAGTTTACTGCTTGGACAGTCTTTAGACACAAATACATTTTTAAAGATAGGGATCTAAATATCCTAAATATAACAGCGACTAGGTTGAGGGGGAACAATTTAATATCGAAGCCAGTAAGTTAACAACTGTTGCAAAATGTTTTAACGAAGGAGAGAATAAAGCTTGTCTTGCTTGGGAAAGTGGCAGCTTAGAGCCCAACACTTGATTCCATGTGTTTGTGCCCAGCGAGTTTCCTTTTTGTCTCTTTCCTTTTCACAGGCCGAGACAATAGGGCATGTTTAATATTGATGAGTTCGATCTGCCAGTGGGAGCACAGGCACAGCCTCTGAATACAAATGTTGTCTGATTTATTTGGCCAACACAGAATTGGGGACATTCGCGCTTTAATCAATGGCAATTATGTTTCCCGATTTCCCCC